TTTGAGAGACGGCTAGATCGCCGAACAACCACCAGCTGCTTCTCTCTTGTCCGAAGAGTAGATTTCTTCATCTGCCAGAATTTTATATACAAAAATTGATTAAACAATCGCTCAATCGTACAGATTCAGACAGAAATAAAGAGAAGAGAAATGGAACAAAACTGGGGAAGTCTTCTTGACAGAGATCGAATGGAGATTTTGAGAGAGCTTTGGAAGATTGAGAGCTTCCATTCGTTTCTTGTTCTCTTCCACTCTTCTCAGACGAATTTCCTCGTAAGGACATTGTTTCGCGACTACCATTTCCTTTGATTTTTTTTTTTTACCTCAGAACCCAAACTGAGAATTTTTGTTTTTCTTCTTCACTGAACTGAGTGGATAAACCTTAGCCGACCGTTCGGTGATTAAGAGTTTGAATTGTGGCAATGAGGTCAAAGAAGGATTAATGGGCCGGACCGGACCAAAGCTTGGACTCGTGTCTCCCTCCAATAAATTTGCAAGTATTATTGGTTCGATGATAAATTTGAAATTTCTCTTTTTGAATTTGAATACTCAAATATTAAGTTTTATGAAGTGGTTGAGCTCGATATTTACTAGTTCTTTAGAGAATGTATAACAGATTGAGATGGAATAATCAATAGACTGTGGTTGGGATTTTGTTGTTCAAATGGCGATGGCTCTTAACAAAAACTAACCATTTTATTTCCATGGTTCCTTCCTTTGACTCGGTTTGTTATTAAGGTACTTCTTCTCTCCATTAATGGTCCTTTTTAATCCTCAAGTTATTTTCTTGTTTCAAACTATAACGATTGCGAGGGCCAAACAGAGATCATAATCATTCTAGAGATGAACATTCAAGAAACATGTCAAAACTCAAATATTCACTTGGAACAAACAAACCATCAATTTACTGACCTTTGTGTACTGAGACCAAAAAAACGCACGCAATATTTGCAGATCAAGGTTCCTCTTCTTTAACAACTTCTCTTTCCCCATCTACGATCTTTGTTCCACGTAGGAACCCGAGAGCCCAGAGGTACCAAGAACGGTAACCTGTAAAAAGGAAACATATAATCTGTTCATTAGCCACCCACAAATTTTAGTTTAAGATGTCTGTGAATTGTGGTCTCTATGCAATGCCAAAATATCAGAAAGGAAGAATGAAAAGAGCACATTTAAGATATGAATCAGAATATAGAGGACAAGTCGAGATTAAAAAATTCTTTAGACACAAGTTTTAGTTCTATCTAGTTTGTAATAAGTTCCATGGGCAGAGCAAGTATCTAGTAATGACAGAATACTCAAACGAGCAGGTTTAAGAGAAACATTTGAAAAATATTTCATTTTTTTTACCTTTCCCCATTCGGAACCAAGACCGCTGCATCTCATCTTCAAGTGGATCATCTTTGTCCCTAACTCCATCTCAACCTTCTTCTTCAAGTAAACTTCTTCAGGCCCAAAGGCATCTAGGTAGTCAGAATACCTCTGATAAGCAGTACGCAGCGCACTGGTTATATCATTTGGTAAGGGCTTCACATTCTGCACACAAAACCAAACTAATTTAATCTACCAAAACCTGAGACACAAAAAAAAGCGAAACACCAAGGCCTCGATGTTTCAAACGCCAATTTATGCTTTTATGTATGACATTTACAACTAACAAACGAATTTCGTTTAAGATGCTAAAGGTTGTGTGTTCATTGGAAAGCTAAAAGCAAATACAAACAAACAATTGAATTCGTAACATAACCATAGTACCTCCCCACTCATCCCAATGCTATCATCGATTTCCATTTTCAAGGAAGTAAGAATCCCTCCAAACTCTTCTACAGCTTCAGCTGCTCGGAACACATTTGTCAAAGCCTCTTGCCCCGACTTGTCATCTGAGCTTTTAGATAGTGCGGTTTTTGCATCGTTTACAACAGACGTAGGTAGCTCTTCCCAGTTTACTGCCATCAACTCTTTGAAAGCATTGTTCACATCAGAATCCGTTATTTGAGGCATGTGAGACACATCTTCACTATAGTTCCGCACTTTGCCAATATCCATTACACGATGAGAATTGTAACCTGCGAATCACACCATCAAGAACATACACAAAGTTAATAGCACAACAAAAGCAAGTATGGATCATCATAGTTTGAACACATACTTTCATTACTTAGATTGCACAATTAATTATGAAAGATTCAAACTTTTTGGCTGAAATGCTCAAAATTGAATTAAGAATCCAAAATTCAGGTACAAAGAAATGATCTTGAGGATTTATGTAGCAATCACATGATACACTCTTTATCGAAGAACAACCTAATCAACATATCTATCCCTCCTTCGAAGGAAATCCCAGAAGCAACAAATCTTCGTCTGGTTCACGAGATCTAACGAAACATAGATTCGGATTATTGGTTCTTACCGTGAAGGATTCGAGGAGAGGGAGATGAAGAAATGCCGAAGAAGGTTCGTGAATAGAGGAAACGATTGGTAGTGGCTGAATGCGATAAACGGTGAGCACCGATGGCGGAAGCTGACACTGTACGGTAGAGAGATCTCAGGATCACCATCTTCTTCGATATGAGAAGCAATAAATTTTTGAGAATTTTCTTCGTTTTGATCCGAGCTTCACAAATTCTCAGTAATGGTCACGGTTTGTACCAGAAACTCTCAAAATCTTTAATATGGGTTATTTGCACCCATTTAGGGCCCATATTTTGGATCTTTTTCATTATGGTAAAAAAAAAATTGTTATCGCCGTCAGCAATTCTCTGGTGCTTTCGTCGTCATCACCATTATTCTGAAACAAAGCTTTAGTTATTTCTTCGCCACAAGAAACCTCAAGCTTCCATCTTTCCACCGCCGCAAAG